TTGAGCTGCGTCGGGGCTAGCCCGTAAGACCTAAGCACCAACCTAAAGAACGGGTGAATAGGCAGCCTAAGTCCGGCCCTAAGAATCGCCTCACTAATGGCCACGCAGCCCGGCCTCGGGTAACAAGCTCTCTCTTTCGGCTCTAGGAGAATTAGATCCACACTGTCCGGGATCCTATATTCTGTCCTAAGTCTACCAAGGTCGGCCTCCCTCAACTTTGATGGGTAGTCCGACGCCCCCCAGTGCACAGAAGTATCCGGAGGGCTATCTGGTCGCTTCCACATGTTTTCCCCCCCATTATGGCCCCGGCTATTTCTGAGGAGGTCGCCACAATGGGCTCGTCCACCCTCACTATTTCTAAACTCCTACCCAAACCAGAACTGCCTTCCGAGGCCATTCGTTAAGAAATTTTTAGAGTCTAAATGGGTACTGAAACTTACGGGTTTGGAAGTGTTTCCTAGCCGGAAATGGTGCAAGATGGCCGGAAATATCGCTCTCTCTCTCGTCGGAGTTGCTTGTAGAACGTCGAAAATCGCCAGAAATTTGGGAGAAAATTTTGTTTTTTCGTATGGCAAAGGTAGAAACTCTGACAAGCCCCCAAAGTTCACCTTTTATAGGAAAGACAAATCCAATCTCCACCGTTGAATTCAAATATGATCAATCTAAACCGTTCGTTGTATTCTCGATCCCAGCCGTTGAAATGAAACGCCAGATTTGATCTACGCCCAAGATGTCGCTGTGGCTTTCACGCTAAATTAAAACGCATCGCCTCGGTTACCAACAGCCGTCAATAATAATTACTGGCCGCAGCAGCCTTCTAGGGGAATGGGCGTGGTACCCAACTGTCACCTTGGAAACACGCAACAGTTGTCAAATCATTGGACTTCTGGGTCGCCTCGGATGATCTCCTCCCCCAACTTTACAAAGCTTAGCCGCAACCGATGCGAACGCCCCAGCGGCTAATTGCCTTGGGCGCTGCGTTCCCTCATATGCTTTACGAAGTTCGAGCCATCTCCCCATGCGTCGACCCCTTTTTTCGCCAACGCTTCGGCGAGAAACGAGTCCCCCAACTTTACAAAGCTTGGACGCACCCGATGCGAACGCCCCGTTTGCTATCGCCTCGGTCGCTGCGTCCCCTCCCGCGCTTTGCAAAGCTTGAGCCGTCTCCCTCTTCCTGCCAACGCTTCGGTGAAGACGAGTCCCTAAGATTTTTATGACGCTTTAACGTACCGGACGCGAGCGTACCATTGGCTCATCGCCTCGGCTCTGCGTTCTTCCCATGCTCTACAAAGTTTCAGCTACCCCCATGCCGCGATCCGGTCAGGAAAACAAATCCACGTATAATATAAATATTCATTCTCGAATTTGGGGGACCACTGTTACGCCTCATTTTACGAGCCTCGGTACCGAAGTAACCGAAGTGTCATCTCGTCACTCCGAAGCCGGTGAAATCAAATAGATCACTCCGACCTCCCGAAGCTTCTCCAAAGTGATACACCGATTCCTGTCACTGATCTGCCGAAGTGTCCCGTCTCTGAGGTCGGGTTCAAGTGGACCCCCGTTAGAAGATTCGCTGCCCCCGTTAGAAGATTCGCTGCCAATTTAAGATTTGCTCTTCATATAAGGTTTAAATTGATTTGAAGTCCCCCATAAAGCTATTTGATGTGACTTATCAACTTTATGTCAATTCAACTTGGGGGAGACAAACTGTCCGCCCACTCTACAAGCGCGGCTGATTGACGCCTATGAGCAGACGCTTCATACCGTCAGATGTATACACTTGTTCCACATCCCACGGTTCATACCACCTATAAATACCCAAAGATTGGCCAGAGGCAAAGGTAATGAAACTCTCAATAGATAGCACTCCATAACAAGTTTATATATTCTCCTCCCCCTTTATTGACTGATTGATTTGTGTAGTCCCTGGACACTGTTCCGACCACCCAAACCTGACTTGACCGTCGGAGTGTATACGGCCGCCACCCCCATCGGTTCCGGCCGTGTGCGCCTGACAGTTTGTTCATTTCGTAGGGAGGAATACGTGGAGTAGCTACAAGTTGGCCACACGGAAGAGCCATTTTTAGAGGTCAACAGATTCCATAAAGATAAGGGCAGGGAAGATTGAGGATGAGAGTGGCATACAGGAAGATTTGAAGCACAACACCTCGTTACCTGCTGGTTCATTAAGGCCAGCTTCTTCAGGTCAGAGCACTATGGTTGGTCTTGATGATGCCATGGCGGAGATCATGGGTCATCTATTCAGCAATTCATCAAAACTTGAAGTTGTGTCAATTGTCGGCATGGGTGGCATCGGTAAGACTACACTCGCTCACAAAGTTTACACTGATAAAAATATTGAGTATCACTTTGACATTTGTGCTTGGTCCACTGTCTCTCCAAAATATAATGAGCGAGAAATCCTACTTGGCCTCTTAGATTCCATGAAAATACAAATTGACGGGAGGAGTGAAAAGGATATTGATCAATTGGGAGGACTTCTGTACAAGAAGCTAAAGGATAGGCGGTATATTTTTGTAATGGATGATGTGTGGGATATCGAGGCCTGGGACAGTGTGAAAAGATATTTTCCAGATGACAAAAATGGAAGTCGAATTCTTTTGACTACTAGGCTCGAGAATGTGGCTAATTATATCAACTCTGGTTCTCGTCTGCATCATGTGCATTTTCTGAACAGCAAAGAAAGTTGGAAGTTATTTTGTCAGAAGGTGTTTGGAATAGGTTTTTTCCCTCTTGAATTGGAAGAAATCGGCAAGAAGATTGCCCAAAATTGTCGAGGACTTCCACTTGCAGTTGCTGTGATTGGGGGCCTCCTATCAAAGGCCAATAAAACACCACATTATTGGAGACAAATTGCTGAAAATTTAAGTTCAGAAATAACTTCAAATGATGAGCAATGCTCTAAGATTCTTTCTTTAAGTTACAAAAATTTGCCTTATCATTTGAAAGGGTGTTTCCTATATATGGGAATTTTTCCAGAAGATTCTGAAATCAAAGTCAAGGTACTTATCAAGTTGTGGGTTGTAGAGGGAATCCTCAAACCAGCATGCTCTAAAACGTTGGAAGACGTAGGAGAGGAGTACTTTTTGGATCTTGTTCAAAGAAGTCTTATTTTGGTTCAAAAGAAAGGGTCCAGTGGAAAATTTAAAACATGTGGAATTCATGATCTGTTACGGGACCTTTGTGTAAGAGAAGCTGAAAAGGAGAAGTTTTTCCATGTCATTGAAGGGAGTCTTTATGGTATTCGAGGAAACACTAGTATGCGCCGTGTAAGTATTCATGATAAGAAGACTTCTCTATCATCTTTTTATTTTTACCATGCAGCTAAAAGGACAATCCAGGGTGATGACAAAACACTATCTTCTTTAGTGGTGCAGTCTCATTCTTCATATAGAGAATATTCTTTCGATTCTTCATCTAGGTCACTTAAAGTATTGCACATGGAGGGATTTGATGTTTTGAGTCATGGAATTGAAGAATTGGTTAACATGAGATACTTCTATTACAGCTTTAGCGACCGAAATGCATTAATATATAAACTTCGGAATCTACAAAAAATAGTTTTACCAACTCATTGGGGGTACAAAATGAAAAACCCACTAGAAATATGGAAGATGCCACAACTAAGACATGTCAAGTTGGAAGATGATGTACATCTTCCTGATCCTCCTTGTTCAGAAATTAAGGGGGAAGAAAATTCTATTGTTGTTCTAGAAAACCTACAAACACTCTCAAGGATACGTAATTTTAGCTGGACAGAGGAGGTCCTGGAAAGAATTCCAAATCTACGGAAACTAGCTATCATTTATGGTAATACGAGGGTGGCTGGTTGGGAAAAATACTACTATATCAATAATCTTGTCCATCTATCTAAACTTGAATCATTAAACTGTTCTATTGAATATACGCTCCCCAATTTCTTAGACAATATCACTTTTCCTATATCACTCAGAAAGTTGACTTTAAAAGGCATCAAACTTCATCCCTCCAAATTGCTGATTCTTGGTTCGATGCCAAATCTTGAAGTGCTGAAATTGAGATGGAGTACCTTCCTTTGTCTAGAGTGGGAACCGAATGAAGGAGAGTTTCTTAAATTGAAATTTCTACTATTACACGACGTTGAAGTGGAGCACTGGATAGCTGATAGTATCCACTTTCCGAGTCTTGAGCACCTAAAAATTTTTGATTGCGGACTGCTGGATGAGATCCCTAGTGGTTTTGGAGAAATTTCAACTCTTCAATCCATTGAGTTGTATGAATGTGGTGATTCAATTGTAGAATCAGCAAAGAAAATAGAAGAGGTACAATTGGGTTGGGGGAACGATGCCTTCAAGTTAATATATTGAGAAGTACAAAATGTGCCGAGTTTCAAAGTTGTCCATTCCAATCATTGGTACCATTTTCTTTCGTGAACCTTTCCATTTTTCATTTTTCGCTTTCTTGTCTTTATCTACATTCATACATCCTCTCCTCTGAATTTGATACAGTCTGTAGTTCGAGATATGAGAGCTCGGTTTGAACCAACTTCAATGCAGATGCTGTGCATTAAGCGTGCAATTAAGTTTCTCTAAAGTTTGTATTCTACAACCATGATTTCATTTAATGTCCTTGTTTGTCTATGTTGTTTCTTCTACTTTCCTCTCTCTTTATTTGTGGCATTCACATGATCTTATTAATTTAAAAAATCATGATTCATGTATGATTGTTCTTGCCATTCTAGAGATTTACATTTTGTGTGCAGTACTATTGTTGATAAATAATTAGGAATTACTTTATTGATTACAGTATCACAATACTCAAATTTTGCTTACAATTGTGGTGTATTTCAGATAATAATTTGACGACTAAATTGTTGATTATTTCAAATAATATTTTGATGATTGAACTATGGAGCACAGAGATGGTACAAGTTAAAATTTTGTTTGGATAATGACTGAACTTAAATTTGGACACAGACTAAATGTAATAAATAGTGAAAAAAGGATCCTATTCCATCAATATATAAATTTTGGAATCTACAAACAATAGCTTGTCTGAGGGATTGTTGGTACGACAAGGAACTACCACCAGAAGTATGGAAGATGCCACAATTATGACATGTCAAGTTGGGTGGTGATGTATATCTTCCTGATCCTCCTATTTCGGAAATTAAGGAGAAAGAAAATACTACTGTTGTTCTAGGAAATCTATGAACCCTCTTGAGGATATATAATTTTAGGTTGATGGAGGAAGTCCTTGAAAGAATCCCAAATCTAAAATTGGGCAGCCATTATGATTCTACTGAGGTGGCCAATTGGGAAAGATACTGTATTAATAATCTTGTGCGTCTAACCAAACTACTTGAATCATTAAAATGTTGGCTTACATATACGTACCCCTATTTCCAAGTGCATATCACTTTTCCGACGTCACTCAAAATGTTGACTTTAGACGACAAGGAATTTCATTCCAAAGATTATCTCAAACTTCATCCCAAAAAATTGATGATTCCTAGTACATTGCCCAATCTGGAGGTGCTGAAATTGAAACACTGTGCCTTCAATGAACTAGAGTGGGAACCAAATGAAGAAGAGTTTCCCAAGTTGAAATTTCTACTGTTACGCGAAGTTAGTCTGAAGCGATGGAGAGCTGACTATATCCACTACCTGAGACTCGAGTGCCTAGTCATTTCGATTGGGGCTTGTAGAGAGCTGGATGAGATCCCTAGTGGTTTTGGGGAAATGTCAACTCTTCAATCCATTTAGTTGATTTGACTTCGTGTTTTTGGGAAAATTTCAACCCTTGGTGATTCAATTGTAAGATCAGCAAAGAAAATAGAAGAGGAACAATTGATTTGGGGAAACGATGCCTTCAAGTTATATATTAAGGAATAATAAATGTGCAGAGATTTAAAGTTGTCCATTCCAATCATTTACAGGTACCATTTTCTTTTGTGAACTTTTTCCATTTTCACTTTTTGCTTTCTTGTGTTTATTTACATTCTTACTTCCTCTCCTCTGAATTTATACAGTCTACAGATCGAGATGTGGGAGCTCAGTTTAAACCAACTTCAATGCAGTTAACTTTTTCTAAAGTCTGTACTGTACAACTATGATTTCATTTAGTGTCCTTGTTTGGACCTGGCTGTAACCCCTTGATTCGCCCTTATTTTGATACAGTTCTATATATACCAACCTTATAATGAACCAAATTGTCCACGAAGGTGCGACCTGTCACAAAATTATGAACTTGCCCCCCTAGAACATGGAGGAGGGAACCATGGTCAAAATTTGACAATCGATAATATTACATAAATTCGTTAAGTTCTTGCTTTCTAGCTTCTCTTTCAACCTTGCCTCGAGGTACAAGTGTATACCAATTACCTTTTTTCATTACACTATCCCTCATCACTTAACATTTTTTTTTTTTTAACAATGTTGAATTAATGATTATTATTATCATGTTCTAGTGCTTTGTTTTCTTCCGCTTCTTCACAAAGATGGTGAGGCATGACTAAATATTATGCTCTGTCCATTGTAATTAATTAAAAAGTATCATATATATTCTTAAATCCCGTCTTGTTGTAATATAAAAAATTTGCGATTGCTATACTTCCTCGTACTCTTAGCACTTTGTAATTTTTTATTTTTAATTTTTAAACTAACAATCACCTAAAAATTGAATAGGAGCTATCATAAGGATTCCTACTTAAACAAAACTCACTCTGATCTTATGGTGGATCTTTTGATTCCAAGTAAATCGTCCAACCCATCTTAATTAATACTTGTTATTTCAAGTTTAAGTTGAAAATATTATTGTCCTAGGAACACTAATCAACTCAGAGTTGGTAGCTTAATATTAAATTTGTTATTTCAATGAAAAATTGTAACCACGGTACCAAACTTTTCACTTTTATGTGGATTTAACTCAAACATTTAATTTGTAGTACCTACAATACAAAATCTTTTAAAAACTCATACTTGAAGTCCAAATGGATGGTTTTTGTTAATTTGATTGTTAGTTATCCATAAAAATAAAGTTTAACCACTTTTGACCAATTTGAAAAGGGTAAAGGTATTTTCATATTATTCTACATAAAATAATTGTATAAATTAAATAAAATATCAAAAAAGTAAAAGAAAAAAGTGGTTCTTCTTCTGCTTCCCTCTACCCCCACCCTCCATTCCCATCCCCAGACCTCAAAACCAAATCCAAAAGCTGCCGCCACCTTCCGCCACCATTGTCGGTGCCCACATATCCGCTTGGGCAAATCCTCCAAATGGATACCCAATTCCATGTGGAGTCGAGGTGGGTCGGCTAGGATTGATTGGGAAAATCCTACATATTAAGCTTCTTGGGGACGGGTCTTGGAGCTGCATCATGGGTTAATTCCTTAACCCAATAGGTGTATGAGGCTACCACAGCAGATTCTGATGCCTTCTCTGTTGAAATAGCAGCTGCACCACCCTCCATTTTTCTCTAAGAACTATCAAATTAAACTAAAGAAACCCAAACCAAAAGCAAACCAAACAGTATTGGATTCTATCAAATGGCAAAAAATCAGTTTGGGTTCAAAAATATATTGCAAGCCTATTGGCGGTGGTGGTGCCTAGTTTTGAGTCGGTGGTAGCGCTGAAGGTTGAAACGGTGGTGCTAGAGGATGAGGCGATGGCCGTGGCGGTGGCTTTTGGAATTGGTTTTGTTTAGATTTACCTGTACATGTTTTTACCTCTTCATAAAATTTTATCACCCACACGAGAGTGGTCAAATTTTAAACAACGCAGTGGGGTGACTTGATTAAGCCCTTTTGGCCCCATTTTCATTCTCATTTTTTTCTTCTCTTTTATTTTTAACCACTTAATCTTTCATAAGATAATATTACACGCAAATCAAAAAAAATTTTATTCTTTTTCAATCACACATTTAAAAAAAAAAATACTATTCCAACCATTAAAATTTGAAAAGAATGAGAGCCAAATGGGGGCTTTACCTTCTTATCCTCCAAATAGTTATGGCAATCAAAGATTAACTCCACGTTTTTCTTCCATTCCAAATATGCCTTGGGATCACTTCTACCTTTAAACTATGGAATCGTCATCTTTATATTATCCAAATTGCCATCTATCTCATCACCAGGATTATTTCTACCCTGCCGTTTAAGCCTACCACATCTATTCCTCGTCCGTCCTATCTCCACTTCTTCATATGCATCTTCATCCAATTCACTGTCAAGATCATACGATTTTTGTTCCATCCTAGGCTCCCGCCTACCTGACTTCCTAGCATGAGTTACATCCCCCATTGCCCTCTACTAAGATTTACAACCGAAGTATCCAACCTATCTATCATATCTCCCATATCAATCAACAACCATTCAAACCGCCTCATCATGTCATCTTGTGTGTTGATTTGATTACTATTACAGCTAGAATTTGATACTTCTCTGTTAGACATTCTCTCAATTTTTTGCCTCACCAAAGTCCACTCAGAATCACACAATTGGCTTTTACCCTCTAAGAACCTCACCATTCTACCTTTTACCACTAAATGCTTTCACCAAGTGCTTCCAAGAACAACAATGAACTCACCAAATTCAAACTAGTGGATTCAAGATCGAGTGTTAGTCAAGGAATGTGATTTCAAAGGATTTGCAAAAAATGGAAGTAAATCAATGAAAATAGTGTAACAATGGAATTGTAACAAAAAAATGGAAGTGATTTTGACAACTTTTGCAACTTGTGAATCAAATTCTAGGATGTTGGTAGTCAAATCAATCAAAACTATTTTATTTTTATTTTTTTGTGAACGGTACGAATGAACAGTAACTTCTCTCTCTCTCTCTCTCTCTCTTTTTAACAAAACAAGATTAAACTACCACTGAAAAGATAGTTCTAGGAACGAAAAATGACTCAAGAACAAGAAAGGAAAACTAGGAAAATGAATACTAACGACTCAACAAGAAAAATAAAGATATAACTTGATTAAATCGAAGCCAAGGCTCTGATACCAACTAATATGAACCCTATAGCAAAGGTGACTATGAAACCCACAACTAGATTGATGCAGAACTCAAGAACGCCAATTGATAACTCGATTTTGGAGTTGAATCCAAGAAAGTGAAACAAGAAACCTAAAGATAACAAAGATACGATGACCCCTTGTTTACAAATTGAAGAACCCACGATCCGATGTTGAACGTCACAAGAATTTCTCCTTGATAAGTTCGAATAATTGCTCAATGGAAGAATGATTGGAAGAAAGCGAAAAGCCTCTCTTTGAATTGAATAATATGTCAAAAGAATGGAAAATAATTGAAAGTATTTATGCTAATCCTAGAAAATCTGTGAAAATCGGACTAAACAATGTCCATTATGGTAAGAAGTTCAAATGAACTAAAATTCTAACCAAAATAAGGAAAAACGCATAAGAGAATAAAAATTCGAAATTAATTGTCGCTCGAGCGATGTCAAGTGAAAAGCGAGCAATGTCAATGTCTCTCGAGTGAAGCCCCAGCAAAAAGTGAGCGAAAATGATTTTGCTTTTCTCCCTCAAGCGAGATCCCAGCGAAGAGCGAGCGAAATTCCGGCACGCTGTCAACTTCGTTCTAGACTTGAATCAAGTCCATCCACTTGGATTCGGCTCCCAAGCTCAACCCAAAACTTGTTCCTGTCTGTTCCAAGACCGATGTTTCTTCAATTGTTGATTGAACCAGCATCGCTTGATTTACCTTTTTCGCCCTCGACCGAGTCATCGGACCACCTCCGACTATCAACGGATCTCTACTCGGACTTGAATTCTCGACCTTTGAATCCTGGATCATATCAAGATTTGTTTCTTTTTCCCTTTTATTTGCTTTACCTGAACATTTCAGAAAAGTAATAGCAAAATAAAGTTCCCAGATTTAATTTACCCTTAACTGCATGCTTTCCTTCCCATCATGCATAGTAATGCCAATGCCGACCCTTCCTACTGTGAAGAAAGTTTTTAACTTTTACTTCACTCAGTAACTTGCCAACAGTTAGCTAACATACAGATCAAATACTAATAAATAAAATATGACAAGCTCCAATTATAGCAAATGCATTCAACTTATCTCAATTGATATCACTGTGTAAAACATGGAAAAGGTAAGTCGGGATGGACCAATATTTATAACAAGCAAATGAAACAGGTTTAATCATTATAGAGGACATATGGCAATATAAACTAATCAACATTGTCAATCTAGATATAAATGAGTATTTCTGTACATAAATTTGACTTCATCAGCTACAAATGAAATGTAATTGCAGACAAAAGAATCGGACACAAAACTCTGATTACCATAAAATCTACATTAGAATTAGACTAATGTGTCCGATTAACGAGAGATATATCGTATTACCTTAGGAATGATTTCTCTCTTAATCACACTCGTTTAGATATAGCATTATCATTTTTGAAATTCACTCTAGGAAGCAATATTTTCTTAGTTCAGAAACAACAGGGACAAATGTCTCTATAATTTTTTGCAATGAGAATTAGAACTATTTTAATCGAACACATTTCCAGATTTAAAAAAAAAAATGTTTTTTACCTTCATCATTTCCCACTAAGAGTTATTACCCAGGAAGAATCATTAACTGCCTTGTACGCAAGATTTAACATGATAGTTACTACCAGCACTCCAACAAGGTCACCGGTGTTAAACTCACTTGCAATAATGGCACCGTCGACTCGATATTGAAGTCGAATGATTGAGTTACTGCATATATGTTTCACAATTATGTCGCTTTTACAAAAGTACGTCTCTCGCCAAAACAGTTAAAGTTAGGAGGTCAAGTGATCTGCGAACTCTTTGAGGCAGTCGAAAGAGGGCCGGCTGTAGAATTGAAGGCAAACAACGCTGAGTGTTGTAGTTTTTTCTTGTCAAAAATAGAGTGAGTGAAAACAGAGAATTTTTTTTTTTTTTAATAATAATTTCATTTATGTCTACAGTCATGAACAGAACATACTAACCTCTGCTTGAAGACATCAGAATCTAGTAAAAATCTTATGTAAAATAATATGAACTTTCAAGTTTGGCATTCTGTAATAAGTATGCATTGAAATTTTATCAATTGAGAAATTACCAAAACTATATGAAAGAACAAATAGGCGAGTAGAAAATAAAAGTTTCTGATAGTATGTTAATAAAACTAGATGGTACCGTATCCGTAAATGAAAATGTAAAGCCAAAGTAAATAGAAAGACTAAACAGTCGATAATAGCTTGAAGCACAAAGAACGGAAAACATTTCATACGAATTAGATTTTAACTAGGAATAGAATAGGGAATTAGAAAATTGAAAAATTTCTAACTAAAATGTCAAAAATTATCGGACGAAACGAATTTGTTTAAAAAAAACTTATCCAAAAAGAGATTTCGCAACTA